CAGATTATATATGAAGGAAGGAGAATTGTTTTTTCCAAAAAGAAAACAAAAAACATCATTTCATTCCCACAACTCAAACTAAAGCGCATACCGAACCCATTTGACTTATATGCATGATCACAGTCGTGTTACATAAGTAGAGGTACAAAAAAAAAACATTTACTGTTTAAAGCAAGACCCTTGAAAAATCAAAAATAACACTTGTTACCCCATAACGTCTGCCATATTAAAATCCACCAATGTATCTGCCCTTTTGTTTTTTTTCCCCTTAGAAATGGGATTTTTGAGTCACACGGGGTTAAAATATTGATTGAAAAAGCTATTACATAAACACCAGAGGTTTCCGTACTTATGACTCGTTGACCAAAGCACTCCAAATGGGACAGAGAGCAATTATTATATAACTTATACCCTATGGCTATTCGATGCTCTCTTAGAAACCTAGACTCCGTGCTCAGTCATGCAAAAAAAAAAAAAAGGATTTAACATTGCGGCAACTGGTTCTCTATGAATAAAACCCTGTTTTTTGTTTTGATATGTGTTAGTCCCTACAGCAAGCTTGGCACACACTCACACACACACACGAAAAGCAGGCAAATAAAGCAGTCCCTGTAAGATTTGAGCCCAGGAGGAAGTTTAACCCCTTTGCCCCCCTTTTCCGTTTTTTGTTTTGTTCTTTGTATATTCTAGTTGAGCTGGTGTGCGTTGTTCATACTCCGAGAAGGTCCAATCTGCCTCTAAAAGAGAGGACGGGATCGGACAGGAACGTTGGGGGGGCGTAAACCCAACCTGACATCGTAGGCTTCTCGAGAAGTATCTTAGGACGTTGTGCCTTGGACGACCTATGCGGAGGCAAAGGGTTTAAAGAGCTACTACTCAACCTCAAGGCTCAACCTAAGGCTCAACCTGTAGCTAATGCAGATGCCGGTTTGGAGGACACCAAATTCATCACAGGCTAGAGATAGACCTCTCGGTAATTTAACTTAGAAAACTAATATATATTTCCTATCGTTACAATGGTTCCATGTGGATGGACTTATCAATAGGTGAAGACATGTTTTACGAAACACAAACTTTGGAAACCCAATGTGATGACTACCAAATGAAACCCTATAGGTAGTGAGGTCGTAATAAGTAAAGATGTGTCCTCCTAGGGTGTCCTTCACCTAACAGACGGTCGAGCAAGTCAGTCAACCCAGTTTTCTTTTTTTTTTGGCAGGGGCTCGGTCTCGACGAGGCCCGCTTGCTGAAAACGGGGGGGGGGTTGAGGGACACCAGAAAAAAACCAGGGTTAATCATAATCGTTAAAGAGTCAATTCGGGAACGAGCGAGAGAGAGGCTGGAACACCAGAAAGAGACAATTACATGAAGAGAATTTCAAACCAACGAAAGAAGAAAAGAAAGACAAGAAAATTAAAAACATTTTTTTTTCTTTTACAACATTTCAATGTTCTCAGCATTACGCGGTTCTTTACACAGAATTCAGTCCCTTCGTTTTTGTCATGTCATTTAGGCTTCTTGTTGAATTAGAAATTTTCTGGTCTTCGTATTTTGTTTTTTTATTTTTGTATTTTTTCCTTAAGGTATATATATTTTTTTTTCCCATTGCTTCGCGACACGATTTGTGAAGGAAACAGTCCCATCTCTCCCTCTCTCTCTCCTCCTCCTCCTCTCCAAAGTTACTTTTTTTTTTCGATATTTTCTTTTTTTTTTTGTTGTATTCTCTTATATAGGTGTTATATTAACATTTGCAGATTAGGCAGACGAGGGCGGTCACCACAAGCCAAATGGAAGCAGCCAAGTTGAGGGATCCGTTGTCCACTATCGCTGTCCCTGGTCCTGCAGAAAGAAAGAAAGAAAAAAAAAAAGAGGGAACTGTTAGTGGATTGTTCTGGATAGAAATCACAAATGCTTTTTTCTAATATATGTTCAATAATCTTTGAATATCTTCATGTGATTTATGTTCTGCTTATTCATTTAAAGGAGAACTATGGGGTCAGTGTTTTCCCCCATAGTTCTCCTAAGGCTCACGGGAGGGCACAAACTAGCTACAGCTCGCGGTATACTGAGACTGCCGCAGTCGGGACGGATCCCGACATTACTGTCGAGATCCACCCAGCTGCGTGATTGACAGCTGGCTCTGCCCCCTGCCTATCTAGAGGCAGAGCCAGCTGTACCCGCCCCCTCCCCGTCCGTTCTGCCAGTCAGCGCTGGAGGATCAGACAGGGGAGGGGGGGATCCCTGCAGGGAGCTGTGAGTGACAGTCACGGCTCTCTGCAGGGACATGATCGATAACTGAGCGAGCGGCGGTATGTGTTCCCTCACTTCCCAATCTATTGAGCCGACCTGTGACAGTCTCATTGTCACAGGTCGGCTAGGACTATTAGGCTGAGTGATTTTCACCCACCTCATAGTTCTCCTTTAAATTAATAAAACGTAAATAAATAAAAAATAAAGCTCAGCTCCAACCAAAATAATTCTTGATAAAGTTGAGAAAGGTTAGAACATCAGTCAGGTTTCCATTGCTGTCCCTGCTATCAGGACAGGAAGTGATGATAAATCCCTCTAATGGGGGCACAGGCCAAAACATTTTTTTAAGTGGCTCTAACACTGTTTCATTTGTTGCCCAATGACCCCCGGACCCCTCCATTTCTTGTGTAAAGTAGCCAACGATCCAAGCTCGCTCCTGTGATGGACTACAATCTCACGTTTAGGGTACTTATTTGTAATGAGATTGTAGCCCATCATGGGAGTGAGCTTGCACTCCCTGTCCATCTCAGTCAATAGAGAACACCCCCAGAGGGGAGAGGGGTTAGATTATTGGGCTCCTGATCCAAGGAGAATGCAGAAATGTCACCAGCACACCAGAATCCTTTTAGGATAGCAGAATGTTCATTTATTTGAAGTTCCTTGTCATATAACAGATAAATATCATAATTTATAATATAAATATAAACATAACAGATAAATATAAACAAGTGCTTTTGGGGCCGCGCAGGTGTCCCTTCATCAAGCTTAGCATTGACGAAGCCTGATGAAGGGACTGATGCTATGCCTGATGAAGGGACCCTGCGTGGCCCCCGAAAGCGCTTGTTTATATGCCAAGGAACTTCAAATAAATGAACATTCTGCCATCCTAAAAGGATTCCGGTGTGCTGGTGACATTTCTACATTTTGCTGATATTTGCGGCGCCATCCGCAGTCACTGTGAGCACCCACCCCATTACAAGGGACTTTCGGTAAGGGGTGCAGCAAGGCAAAGAAAAGTATCTATTGCCTGATCCAAGGAGGTCCCAGGCTGCTCGCCATTCCAACCCAACCTTAAAGTGACACTAAACTCAGGCGTTTAACCTTAAAAATACATTCACATACATTAATTGTTAACAAAAAATGTATCTTATTCATCCATCAGTCAGTCAAAACACACACTGGGGGTCTCAGCTGCCGTTGTGATGTGCGGGGTCCCTTGTGTGTCCCTGCACCTTTAAGGAGGTTGGGCTGCCTCCTGGCGAACCTGCACCCAGTTTTATCTTTTGCTACATGTGCTCCAAGATGGAGACTCTCATAGGTACGAGTTAGGACCGCACCACACAGAGGGGCCTTGACGAGGCTGTGCGGCTTTCCCATATTCTGCAGGAGACGTGTATCCAAAACATCTGTATTTAACCTCAGCGGTTAGACAGGTTTTTTTTTTTGCATGCTGGCTGCTGAGTGTGCTGGGAAACTTTTTGCTGTTCTTCATCCATCATTCATCCAAAATGTATCCTATTCATCCATCATTCAGCTGTAGATCCTGAAATCATCTCTGAATTGGTGCTCACACTGTCCTTCCTTCTGGAGGGTGACTACTATTGTTCCCCATGGTCCCTGTGTGTGTTGTAAAGTAGTCACCGCTCCAAGCTCACTCCCGGGATGGACTACAATCTCATGTTCAGTTTACTCATTTTACTGAGATTGTAGTCCATCCCGGGAGCGAGCTTGGAGCGGTGACTACTTTACAACACACACAGGGACCATGGGGAACAGACGTAGTCACACTCCAGAAGGAAGGACAGTGTCAGCACCAACTCAGAGATGATTGGAGGATCTACAGCCGAGTGACACACAAATAAGTTACATTGTTGTTAATAGTTAAAGGATTTGAATGTATTTTTAAGATTTAACTCCTGAGTTTAGTGTCACTTTAACTAATTAATATAACAATGCTTCTAGAAGAAGTTGAAGCCTTGGCGAGGCAAGAAATTATACTCACAGGGGAGAAACAAAAATTCCCACCCCCAGCAACGGCAATCAGATCATTTCTCTGGATGAAGCATTGATGAGTCCTATGAATTATAGATAAAAGTGCCATTTCTAAGAGAGCCGGAGAGATAGAAAATCTCACCACGCTGACAGCCTAATAATGACGGCAACACAACTTCTCTTGAAGTATAATTTGACCTCCTCTAGTCCATTGCGCAGTCCCGGGGGGTGGAGCAATGCATTGGACAGGTTTTGTTTAAAGGCGAGTACATTGATATTTTCAATTGTAATTTTATTACACACACATTTGATTAATAGATATTAAAAGAAGAAGCTTCACACCTTTTGATACTTTGCAGCTCTTGTGGGATGTTCCCGGTCTGCAGAGGTCAGGACTGACCAAAAGTGGTAATTCATTATTAGTAATAATATAAATAATATTGTTAATCAATAAGGAAATCAATCACCAGAAGCATTTATAAATTCAGCATCTGAGATAGATAATTTTGATAAAAAGATTAAAAAAAAGAAAAAGATTTTGAAGGTTTGTTTCTATAAACTTAATAAATTAAATGTAAAAAATAACAATATATATAGTGTATATGTATGTATATATTTTTTTAAATGTATTAAGTTTAAAGGCACAAACCTCTTAATTTTTTGTTTTTTTTAATCTTTTTATCTCAGATGCCGAATTTATAAATGTTTCTGGTGATTGATTTTCTTATTGATTAACAATATTATTTATATTCTGACTATTAATCATTTTCTGCTCTTTCTGTCCCTCCGCCGCCCCCTGCTGGCTGTCCGGTTTCCATGATCTGCCTCGGCCTTGTCCATATTGCAGTTGACGCCCTTTGCATGTCACAGCTCATTAGGATGGAGAGAGCTGAGGAGCGCCTGTTAAATTTGATGGACGGCGTCTCCCCCGAGTCCCATTCATCGGACTCGGGATCAATGCGCTCCGTGCAATAAGAACATCTGTAATTATAGAGCAGGTAGACGGGGAGTCGAAGGGCATTAATCCTACACGGCACTGACATCGGGCCTCACCTTCTTAGGCCTAGACGGTGTTACCGAAATCCATGGTTTGCAGGGTTAAGTGCTGCGTGCATTTCATTCAACAAGGCAGCTCCATGGTAAAAGCCGAACAGATAAATACCCGGATGGAATATGTATACTGGAGCCTTTTATACCCGGCAAAGGGATTGCATGTGTCCATTGAGATCTATAAGGCAAAGCCAACCCATGACCTGACTTTTCTTTTTCCATTGCAGTAAAGCAACACCGCCAGGCCACGTTCCCGCCCCCTGACTGTGATTGGGCAGTAAAGGAGCAGCAAAGCATTGATGAGATCATCTCTCTGTTCTCTACTCCTGGGAGCAAGTTTCTTGTCAACACACGTGATTGGTCCTTAGCACTTCCCCTTCCTCTCTACTTACCCTTCCTCACTGACTGTGACGTTGGGTGACGGGAGGACGCTAGTTTGTGTACTCCCGTTACCGTAAAGAGAACTATGGGGAAAAGCCTTAACCCCATAGTTCTCCTTTAATATTATTATTAGTTATTTATTTATTTATATAATTACTATTATTATTGGGAAAGGGACATGACCTGTAAGTGATACTTATTTACAGCAGAGACAAAATCTCAGGACAGTGCTGTGTGGTAGAGCTATTTAGATCTCAGGACTGGATGGACAGAAATGGAAAGGTTTTTCTCACCGTAGTGCAATGCAATGGGAACAGTCCCTGTGTCAGCCATTCCTGGGCTATTCTGAGCTCATACCATACAGAACAGGGAGATGCTCATATACAGGCTGCTGAGCCAGTGCAATCCTGAGAGTGTGTGTATCTGGCGCCATCTAGCGGTGAAAATGTAAAATTGCTGAAATGTTTTTGGACTCAGACTATTGATTGTATTTAAAGGGATCTTGTGGGAATAGCACGGGTCGGGCCGAGGGCTGGGCAGGAGGGGCAGGTGCCCCAGGCGCAATATTTTCTTGGGGGGCCTGCCACTTGTTTTGCCTGTGGCCTGTCCAGCGCTATATTCACAATCAGCACAAGAAAGCCAGCAGCGGGAGAGAACATACAGCAGGACGTCCCGGCACACTTCCAGGTCCAGGGGAAACCCGATTGGTGGACTCGGAGCTGTGCAGTGACTCTGAGACAAGTGGGGAGTGGGATCCCAGCTGCAGAAGATGATTAGGTGAAGACAGAGTGGGGGAGATGGAGAGCTCACCAGGGGGATGGGGGGAGCAAGCACCGGGTGTGTGAAGGGGAGCAAGTACTGGGTGAATGGGGGCAGGAGAATGCACCAGGTGGACTGGGGGAGCAAGCACCAAGTGGGAGGGGGAGGAGCAAGCCCCGGGTGACTTGGGGGAAACAAGCAACCTTGTCTTAACTGACCTGGAATAAACATTTGAGTGCCCAGCCTTTTCAGGTTTCACTGGTCACATGCTTGTTCCATGCCAGCACCTTCTCTTACATTTCCTCGGTGCCACAGTTGCTCACAGCTCCGCCCATCCACAGCAACCCCAATGATGCCACTGATACCATATCTATGGAAGAAGCAGCAGGATGAATGACACCCCATCATGGAATAAGACCCTGAAGGGTGACTCAGACCACTGTTGGGGGTCCTGTAACTATAAATATCCGTTTTGGGTGAACAGACCCTTTAACACAGCGGTTCTGAACCTTTCTAGGGCCGTGACCCCTTGGTAACATTTGCCAAGTTGTGGTGACCCCCAACGGTAAAAGATTTAGGGATGACGCGGCTGCTGCAGCGACATCTGGCGGCATGGCGGGAGAAATGACACCGCTGGGCTAGGAGAGGGCTGAGGAGGACTCTCACTTAACACAGCAGAAATCACACAGCGACCCCACAGCTAGAGAACCCCTGGTGTAGAACATGTTTTTTCTATTTGTTGAGATTATTATTATTCCGTGATATTCCCTAGCAACCAGAATAATTTGTTGTTGCCATGTGAGTCAATCTACTCTTTCTTGGAAGACGTAGTAAGGAATTTATATGAATATGTCCTATCAGTGCTGCAGATCTTATGCTTACAAATTAGAATCTTCGTCACAATAAAAAAACAAAAACAAAAAAACCCACCTTAGGAATGCATAGCTAGATTCCTATTGGCTATTTCACTTTGCAATAGCCAATAGCAAACTAGCTATTGCACCCGCCCTCTGCTGCTGTCAATCACTAGAAGGGGACCTGATGGAGAACCTCAGGTTCTCCATCAGCAGGAGAGGGCGGGTGCAATAGCTAGTTTGCTATTGCAAAGTAACATAGCCAATAGGAATCTAGCTAAGCATTCCTGTGGTGTTTTTTTTTTCTGATTTACGGCGGCCCCCGATGTAAAAAAAAAAAAAAAACGATCGCAGGGCAGGGAAAGGTTTACTCGGCTCGATCGAGCAGAGTAAACCTTTCCAGGAGAAAGTGTTTCTCTCCCGGGTGGCTAGGAGCCGCTATCTATTAGCAGGAGACCCCTGGCAAATCGTCATTCGACCCCTCAGGGGTCGCGGCCCACAGGTTGAGAACCGCTGCTTTAACAGACACTTCTTTTTGTTTTAGAACAGAGAACTATAACACCAGCAATGATCTTCTCACACATTGTCCACATTCATGTTGCGCGGCTGATACAATACCTTTCAGTTTGAAATGAGCGTTGTTGCCTCTCTCTAGAAAAGGGAAACGGGTCAACACGTTACTATCACATCATTAGGAAGGGGCGCGTGTTAGTACCCCGGCGCCCAAATCTCTACGCAGTATTAATCTATGTTAATGAAGGAAGGTGATTGGTTAGGTGATCGGGTTATGTTCTAATAGTAAAATATATGAACGGCATGCCGAGGTCCAATCTTCAGAAAGTGATCATTTTATTGATACACGCAGCTTGTCACATTGCAACGTTTCGGCGTCCCTTCCTCAGGCAATGGGTTATGTTCTAAGTGACATACCACCGGTGCCGAAGGGTTTTTCACGTCACCACTCCCCCCCCCTACAAGTCAATCTGAAGGCAAAAGCAGCTTGATGCAGGTCAACAGCAGGTCCAAGGCACTCGTGGATAGGGTTGCCACCTTTTCTTCAAGTGAAGCACTGAGTCCAGTGCTATACTGAGTTCAGTGCGTTCCTATGCCCAGAGTTCAGTGCGTTACTAAGTCCTGAGTCCAGTGCATTAGTAAGTCCAGAGCCCAATGCGTTACTAAGTCCTGAGTCCAATTCATATACTGTTCTGCATTGCTGTATAATGTATTGCTGGGATTTGTAGTCCCCCTTCAGCCGGTGCCATTCTGCATTAGAGTGTAAGCTCCTCTGTAAAGAAACAAATGTGACTGGCTCAGTGTTCCCTGTACAGCCCTGTGGGCTAGCCGTGTAGGCTGTACTGGACCCCATTATTTCTAATGGCGGCCTTGTTCACACCGCCAATGATGTGTCACAGAAGTCTTATTAAATGATCCCAATATTACTGGCACATCGAGAGTTTATTGTAATTGTAGCGTGTTTATAGGGATACAACAAGAATGTGCACGGATCTATATTTCTATCATTGACTTTAAAGGAGCACTATGGGGTCAGTGTTTTTCCCCATAGTTCTAATTTAATGATTGTCAATACTTCCTGACTGTAAGGAAAGGCAGCTGCACATAAACATACATGAGTATAGGTTGCCATCTTGTGGTCATTATTGGGTATCGCTATTCTGCAAAATGATACACGGAAAGGAAAGTATAAAGTACAAATAAAAAAGGAATAAATGGGGCTTTCCAGCAAGAAAAGTGGCGCCGACCTACCCAAGGGTGATGTGATTTGTATTCATGGCCCCAGATCCACTATAATGCTGGGCCAGTCTCACGGAGAATAGGCAGTATGGTGGAACTGATGCAGCCATCATATCTATGGAGTAGATCCATGATAAGCTGCAATATGTTACATTGTTGTTCTCGGGTTTGGATACATTGTAACCTATGAGGGAAAGGCTACATTGTTGTGTGTCATATGTGAAGGAAATGACATAAACGTTTCCTGGGAATCTAAAACTTCCACTTTTACTTAAAGCTGAAGTTTAATCTGCTCATATTTTGCCTTCCCGGGTCCCCCTCCTCCCCCCTCATCAATAAAAGCTTATTTTAGATGTCATCACTGGGGCTCTCTGTGCTTTTCTATGCAATGCAGGTCAATCATTGCTGGTGGGAGGGGCCGGCAGGGGGGCTGTACATAGCTTCCTGATAACATTACAGCACCCTGTCTGAGTACTCCTCTCAAGAGCCCTTAGCCAGTGGCGTCACTAAGGGGGTGCGGCCCGCACCCAGGTGACACCAAAGTGACTGACAGTCATTTTGGTGTCACCCCCTCTGAAAAGTCGGGCACTCGGTCACGGACCGATAGCCTGGCAGTTGCAGGAGAAAGGAGGGGGACCGACGGCAGGCCCGGATTTCCCACAAGGCCACTGAGGCCCGGCCTCGGGGCGGCAGCGGTGACCTTGTGGGGAAGTTGTGGGTGCCGGTGTAAGGCCTCCCCCCAGCTGTCAGATATAGGGCGCGAGGAATGAATCCACCGGCGTCAATCCACATTAACGGGACGCCGGTGGATTCATACCTCGCCGTCTACCTTGCTATCACACAGGGGCTTGTTATCTCCTGTGTGATAGCAATAAAGTTAGGTGGGAAAAAAAATGACATTGATTTAAAAAAAAATTAAATCAAAATGTAAAAAAAATAATATTAAATATACGGCATACCTTATTCCGCCGGGTGAATGTCCCCTCCGCTCTCTGCCGGTGTCCATCACCAAGATGGCCGCCGGCAGGTATCACCAAGGTGCCTGCGCATGTGTGATGACGTCACGGCGGGGTGTCACCCGGTACACGCTCTGGGTGACACCTGGCCTCGGGACGCCCCTGCCTTTAGCCCTGATGCAAGCAGTGGGCTGGCTCTTGGGAGGAGTTATGCAAATATTAAAATGCCTTGATGGCTGGATGTCAGTCTGGAGGGGTGGGCAGTTCTAGGCAGGCTGTAGTTGCATAGTTAACGCCCACATGTGATGCCGAGCCCCATAATTGATAGAACTGAAATCCAATGAATGAAAGGGGCGGGACCAGGGACAGTCAGGCTAAGGAGGAAAATGATAGATAATGCTGGGTGTCCTCCAGCCAGGAAATGCTGCAGCTTCTAATAGACATTGTGAGAAGCTCGCAGTGTGCAGTGAAATCAGAGTAAGCCATTTCAGTCGAGGAGAGGTAATCTGCTTTTCTCTCCAGAAGGACGGCACCATCTTTGTTCAGGCATCATCCAGCGTCACCATCTGCTTCCTGGAATGAGATGCCGGCTCAGAGATGACACAGTCATGTCCATCCTGGCTGTTTCCTGGCTGTGTTCACAAAAGGAAGTAAAGAGGAATCTCTCCAACAAGGCTGCAGTCAATAATATATAACATCCTAAGCGCCTGTTCTTGGCCGCAGCGTACCAGTAACTCTACCTAACACACAGACCGGTCTCCGATAGGCGGCTCGGCGGACGTAGCCATGAAAACATTTCTATTTCTCCTCATTTGTAAACAAGATTCTCCAAATGAAAACAAATGATGGCGGGGATGGGAAGGGACGGGAGCAGCCATCGGGGAGCCGGTCTCAGCGGCTTTGCCTGCTTGTAGCGCCGTGCCGCTTTAATAGTCTACTCCGTCTGGTTAGCGCGGAACTGGTGATTACCGTCGGGGGAAATGAAATGCTCTTATATCTTCTCCCGGCCGCCCCGTCCATGTCATCACTGTGGAACATTTCCAGGAGATGTATGGTGGGGAGCATTACACTAATGTCTGAGGAATCCGCCGCATCCACCATAAAGAGAAGATTGTATTAACGTCCATTAGACACAATGCCTTCGGCGTCCATTAATGTAGAGAATGCGCCTCATATGTCTGCATTAGAGATCCTCGTCCTGGTAATCACCAAACGGCTCCATATCTCCCGCTATGTCTGGAGGACCAGAGTTCATTGTGTGTTAAAGGAGAACTATGGGGTCAGGGCTTTTCCCTATAGTTCTCCTTAGGGTAACGGGAGGACACAAACTAGCATCCTCCCGTTACCCTAAGCTCAGTATATAGGGAGCTACAGCTCGCGGTATACCGAGACACCGCAGCTGGAGCGGATCCCGACATCGTTGTCGAGATCCGCCCAGCTGCGTGACTGACAGCTGGCTCTGCCTATCTAGAGGCAGAGCCAGCTGTACCCGCCGCCTTCCCCGTCCGTTCCGCCAGTCAGCGCTGGCGGATTGGAGCGGGGAGGGGGGAATCCAGCCCCTCCCCTGTCACAGCAGAGAGCCGTGACAGGATCGAGAGGTGAGAGAACGCCGGTATGTGTTCGCTCACCTCTCGATCTACTGAGCCGATCTGTGACAGTCTCATTGTCACAGGTCGGCTAGAACTATGAGGATGAGTGAAAAGCACCCGCCTCATAGTTCTCCTTTAAAGCTGAGCTCCGGCCTTCCCTCCAGTTTGGCACAGTTGTACCGGCTCCTGTCCTGGACTGAAATTGCTTCCTCTGATGTCACTGCACACTGCGAGCTCCTCATAATGTGCATCAGAGGCTGCAGCAAGTCACATAGAGCCCGCCTCATTTCCTGGATGGAGAACATGCAGCATCATCTAGTCCTTTATTCCCCAGCCAGAGGATAACAGACCGTCCCATCGTTGTATTTCAGTTCTTTCAATCATGGAGGCTCAGGGTCACATGTAGACATTATCTTGGGTGGTCTGCATGCAAATACAGCCTGCCTAGAGATGTCCACTCCTTCAGACTGATTTCACCCATCAAGGTATTTAGATATTTGCATAAACCTTCACAGACAACAGCCCACTCCTTTAGTGGAGCACTGAGTCAGGGTGCTGTGATGTTATCAGGAAGCTCTGTACAGCACCCTGCCGGCCCCTCCAACCAGCCACGATCTGCCTGCATTTTATAAAGAAGCAGTAATAATGTCTGCAATGAGGTATGTAATGAAAATGGACAGTCCCATACCTTGGCCCGGTGTTCCATCAATGCTGTGTCCTGGTGTACAGTAAGTCAAAAAGGCATTAATTGTCATGGTCAGGTTCACGAGTGGGTGGTTGTTGCATATTTAGAGCCCAGGTCTGGGTGGGGCAAACTCATAAAGTGTGTAGAATGGGCAGTCCCCTCATATTTAGAGGCCGGGTTCGGGTGGGAACAATCTATAAAGTGGGTAGAATACTCTTATATTTAGAGCCCTGGTTTGGGTGGTACCAACCCATAAAGTGGGTAGAATGGGCAGTCCACTTATATTTAGAGGCTGGGCTTGGGTGGTACCAACCCATAAAGTGGGTTGAATGGGTAGTCCCCTCATATTTAGAGGCCGGGTTTGGGTGGGAACAACCTATAAAGTGTGTAGTATGGGCAGTCCCCTCATATTTAGAGGCCGGGTTTGGGTGGGAACAACCTATAAAGTGGGTAGAATATTCTTATATTTAGAGCCCTGGTTTGGGTGGTACCAACCCATAAAGTGGATAGAATGGGCAGTCCCCTTATATTTAGAGGCTGGGCTTGGGTGGTACCAACCCATAAAGTGGGTTGAATGGGTAGTCCCCTCATATTTAGAGGCCGGGTTTGGGTGGGAACAACCTATAAAGTGTGTAGTATGGGCAGTCCCCTCATATTTAGAGGCCGGGT